TCCCACGTCGGCATCATCATTGAAATTTTGCCCTTCATAAAGGTTCCATTAATACGATTAACAAACCAACAACAACTCAGTCACCGGCTATTTCATACCCTTTCAAGCCAAAAATTCCTCGGTTATTCAGGGTTTAGAATTGGCCAACGTGGCGCGACAGCCCAAGCCAATGGCGTCGGAGAACGAACAAGATAACCACTCCCGCCGTCGACGGGATCAAGACGACAACACCGGGCGACCTCGGCATAGAGAAGATAGAAGGGACCATCGCTCTAGGCACTCCCACAAAGATCGCGAGAGGCGCGGATCGCGTGATCGGCGACGATCCAGAACTCCGGAAGACCCTACTCGACAGCGCCGGAATCAGGACGGAGACCGCGACCGAGATCGTGATCGAAGCGGCGACCGTGATAGAAGGAGAAGACGCTCACGCGACGATAGAGACTCCAAGCGACGTCGCTATGATGAGGACAAACCAGAGGATAGTAGTCGCGCGGTAGCAAAAAGGAGACAAAGCCCCATTAGGCGGAAAGGCCCTCTACCATCGCAGCAGGACTCTTTCGCCGTCACCCAAGATGGTGGTGAGCCTGAGAAGCCCAAGGAAAAACCCAACCTGGGAAATACCGGCATGTTGGCTGCTATATCAAACTCGGTGGCCCAAGCCGATGGCTCATCAATTACGCTCAAGTATCACGAACCTTCAGAGGCGCGCAAACCCTCGCCACGCGACCAGTGGAAGCTCTTTGTTTTCAAGGGCAGCGATGTGGTGGATACAATAGATCTGAGTGCCAGAAGTTGCTGGCTGGTGGGCAGGGAGATGACTGTGGTTGATCTGCCTGCGGAGCATCCCAGTATCAGTAAACAGCACGCCGTTATCCAATTCAGGTATACTGAGAAGAGGAATGAGTTTGGTGACAAGATTGGCAAGGTCAAGCCGTATCTGATTGATCTCGAGAGCGCCAATGGCACAATGCTAAATGATGGCAAGATTCCTGACAGTCGCTATCTTGAGCTCAGGGATAAGGACGTTGTACAGTTTGGGCACAGTACACGTGAGTACGTCGTCATGCTGGCTCCCAGGGATTAGACTCCACAAGATATATGCAGGTATCCAAGAAGAAGCGTTGAGTTTACGGTGTGAGAATTACACAAGGATACGCCAAGGCTTTGGCGGCGCTGATCTCTGAGTTGCCGCATCCAACGACAAATGCGCCTTGACCAATCTCCTCCTTCAGTTGGGGCATGTTGTTTTGTTTGCTCCCACTTTCAAGGCTGTGAGGAACTGGAATGCCTCACTCATGACCGCTCTTCATGTGCAACTCTAAGCCGCATCTCACACTCAGCATGCAACAATATTGGTTACTCCAAGGCGGCAAGGCTGTTTGGGTTGACACGGAACCCACTCTAGCAAACAATCGGAAACACCGCAACAGGGCGTTCAATAACATGGCAGTTCTCTGGGCACCAGAGTCAAAAGGGCCATTTGATCCACCGTTCGTTTGAAGCTTTTAATAGAAGCTTAAATATGGCCATAAGTGGCTTTACGCCATATCCCCTATCTAGGTTTCGATTCTCTGATTTATCAATCGGCTGCGGATGATAGTTCGCCACCTAGTAAAGCCTGGGGCACTGCCCAGTGCCACGAGACGGCAGTCTTGGCCAATGATTTTATAGAATAGCTCGAGGCTTGCGTGCAACACAACAACTCCTTTGCTTAGATCTACGGAGGGCGACTAAAATGGCAATCTATCATCTGTCAGTTCTGTAGCTTGCCTCGCATCCGCCTAATTTGCTGTTGGATCTGGCGACGAGAATCTATTTATCCCATGACACCTACACCGCATTCTGGACTGTACCACATTGCTGGTGGCATTGTTTCCGACCCATACAGGCTGTGCAGGAATGATATCATTCATAGTTGCTTAGCATGTTGGCACTTATCTTCCCTCTGAGGTACATGTTCCTGACCCAACGCCCTGTCATATTCCGTGCTCTTTTTGCCCATGTGAGTCAGGTTGAGGCCTGAGCCACAAGGATGCAGCTATCCATTCCTCTTGGGGTCAAGATGCTTGACTGTTGGCCGTAGGCATCGTGCATAGACTATCGGCGTGGAAGCCGAAGAAAAATGTTTCGCAATAGTCTCGACTTGCCAGTTGAGGATAGGGGTTGCGAATATCTGACTGCTCGTTTCGATATGCATCGGCAGCGGATCAAGTATGAGGCTGGGGATGTAGCCCCTGTAGTGTAGCAATGCATTGGTGAGGTACAATATGACTGGCTCTTTTGTTATAAGATCAATAGCTTTCCTCTATTTTTCTTCTACTATTTAGTGAGCTCATTGTTTTGAGAACTTTGTGAAGAAATCTTTCCTGTGATACCTTGATTTTGTGACTTAGAGACCTCGTACAGTACTGATACAATGGTACGTTGCCAGAGAATCATCTACGCCCCCCTCGATTCAAGGTAGCTTATGAACTCGATAGGGATCTATTGACCGATCGATTTCACGCTACGAAACCACTGCGGTGTATACACATCCCAATGCTCAAGTTGACATTGTCCTTATCCACGGTCTCAACGGCGACCCTGAAAAGACATGGACAGCCGGCAACGGGACGTTTTGGCCCACCGACCTCTTGCCTCTTGCACTCAGAGGCGTTCAGGCCAATATTCTCGTCTACGGCTACAACGCAGACGTGTACTCCAAGAGCAATAACCGAAGCGCGAGCGATAACTTTATTCATGAGCATGCGCAGACCTTGGTCAGGAGCTTGACCCTGTTCCGGCGCGGCGAGGGAACGTTTAAGAATCCCATCATCTGGGTTGGTCACAGCTTGGGGGGCATTCTCATCAAGAGGGCGCTGCTCTACTCTAATGACCTGCGGGCTTCGCACCACGAGGATTACCGGTCCATATACGTGTCGACGTTTGGCATCATGTTCCTTGGTACTCCGCATGCGGGATCGGATGCTGCGACGTGGGGCCTTGTCCTACAGGCCATGTCGGATTGCATCATGCCCCGGAAGCTCTTTGAGTCGGAGTCCATCTTGCTCAAGACGCTGAAGAAGGATAATGAGACGCTGGCGAATATTAATAACCATTTCTTGGATATCTACCAGCGATTCAGGATTCACATGGTGCATGAGAACCACAAGACTGACATCAAGGGGACCAAGTATGTTTTGCAGTTGACATTTTGAGGCTTTGCTGATGGCACCTAGGATTTTGGTCGTCGACCCGGCGTCTGCCAGTCCTCAACTACCAGGCGTGACTTATTATGGCGTCGAGGCAACCCACATTCAAATGTGCAAGTTTGAGAACGCCCACTCTCCTGGCTTTGGGGCTCTCTCTACAGATATCCGGCAGTGGGTGCTCGAAGCCCCATCCTTTGTCGCCATGAGATGGCAGGTTGAAGAGCATGAAAAGGCCTCGCGAATGCAGCACGAGATTCAAGAGAGGATGTCGCCATTTGTGGGTTTCCTTTTGCCCCATTTAGATATCGATATCTAACTCTGCCCTCAAGATGTCGCCGGCTCGCTTCGTCAGTCGCACGCCATCGCCGTCCTTTAACCACCTCGTGGGGGCATCCCCTTTGAGACAGATGAACAATGCCTCTCCGCTTTGCTTGGAAAATGTTCCGCAGGGGCTCGTTGATGCGCTTGGGGAGCAGGGCGGAGTGGTTTACTCCTTTGATGACCCCGAGGGTGTCGCGGAGGAGATGTACAGGAGACAGGCGAGGCATTCTTGATGTATGGTTCGTGGGGGGCTTGGTGTAAGGTAGTCTGCATGTTATTTTTGTCGCGTAAATGGCTTCCTCTTGGGGGTGCTTGGGAAACCTAGCATCCTTGGATTTGAAGCATCACGATATGGGTGGCAGTCTCCGCCGGAGGCTTTCTGATTTCAAGTTAGGCTGATGTACTTAAATTGAATGCGATTCTGGAATATTGGTATGAGGTTTTGAAATGATGTGGCCGCTTCATGTACTTGGGAAGATGTGTACAATGCGATTTTCGCATATTGGGTTAATCTACATGCAGTGTCTGTATTAAAAATAAACGTGCGATAGATTTGGGATCTTGTGAATACTGGAAACCTGCGTGTCTGTATTGATTTGTTTAAAAAGAGTAGCTGGTGAGCGCTGGATGTGGAAGTAAGAGAATGCTACGCCGGATCTATGCCTGTGATGGAATATCAATGAAAACAACACTATTGATGAAAGAATGGTTAATTAATTTATAACAGAAACAGGAGGAACAGAGAGAAAGAGAGAGAAAGAGAGAGGAACAGACGGAAACAAGAGAAACAAAAAGAAATACGAGGAACCCAGAGTAACGTTAGAGATAAAGAGGAACGACAGGTACGAATCTGTCCATCATGTTCAGCGTTCCAGTGTTTATTCCCCTTGGATACTCACTAGCAGCAAGGAAAGAATTGGATTGGAGATATACCTTCATGTGCCTTCAGGTAGGTACCTGGCTGAGCACTCACTAACATAGAATCATGACATCAAAAAAAAAAGGCTTACAAACGACATCTCAGCGCACAAAGAGTTTTATCAAGTAAGGCACTCCAATACTTCCATCAATTTGGTGGGGAAACATAAGTTTTCTCGATGGAATCAGGCCATCAAGGCGCCTCCCCAGTGAAAATAGCTGCCTGACTGGAACTATGTCCAAGTCGTTGGAAGTCTCGTATACATAGGCATCCTTTCTCTGCAGCAAACAATCGCTTAGGTATTCAATTATTGGTCCATTGATAAATCCCAAAGCAGGAAGTGGGTCCATTTGATCCTGTCCAGTACCATATGCTTGTCACCCATTTCTAGCCCCGCAAGCCGTGAAAGTTGATGCTCTCCGAACAGTGCGCCAATTGCATTTGCTCAACCATCAGCCACTGTTCCGCCCCCAAACCTTGCATAGCGCATGCTGGGTGCCCCGTGCGTCCATTGGGCAAAAAATAAACACGCCCAAGCCTTCCAGTCAGCCTGAAAGCGCAAAAAAGGGTCTTGCCGGGATTTGAACCCGGGGCCTCCTGCAAACGTGATTCTTGAAGAATCAGGACTTCGAGTGATGAGCCCGAAGCAGGAATCATACCACTAGACCACAAGACCGGTGGAAATATGAGTGCTTAACCCGTTGGAGAATGGTTGTGATGATATCGTATATATGGTATTGCAACTGGGGCGGGTGTTTTGAGGCCGAAAGATGGGAGGTTCGCGACAATAGCGGGGAAATTTACCCAGATACATGACAGCAATGCACTAACGAACATTATCAATAGCTGCAATGAGTCATTAGACATTGTGAAGAGCCGGCGCATTGGTATGGACCAAATTGTTGAATTGAGGGCTTGTTTGGTGATGGGACACTGAGATGGTGATAGCGCACCGCCGGACACGGCTCCAAATATGGCAACATTCACGAAGAGAACGCCGTATGACTTATAAGAGGCAGAGGAACGATCTATTCGTTCCGGCGCATTACTTTGGATTCCGAAATCCATGCCGGAACGGTTAGCCAATTCGCAACGTAAGGAGAAGAGGGTTTTGAAGCCATTCTTGCACCGAGCTGCAATTTGGATACCACTCAATCAAATCAGCGACCACTCGACGCTTCATGCAGCCAGCGCTTTGTTCAGTTGGTATTTCTTTCCATAGGCTTCATCAAATGAAGTTAAAAATAAATCCATCTGCCGCCGGCAATTGAACGCGATGACGTTACTAGGGCCGGGTGCGAGTAGGCGTTCCTTCCACGTTTTGATCAACACCACAACAGAGGAAAGAGCAGCATCACGACCCGACACCCGGTGTACTCAGGTACCTTTGTCACTTTTGCCTTCATCAAATCTGGTGCATTTCAAATCTGGTGCTCGCAAGAAATTAATGTACAGTGCAAATCTACTCTTCCGACTCATAAACCAAGATAAGAATGTGACCATCCCACATCAATCACGGCTTAGGGATATAAAGAGTCAATCCCCTGCCTGCCATTTCAGCCTGTGGCGATGATGCATAGAGGGAGTGAGAGATGATTCTACAGAACTGTTTCGGCATTTGGCTGACGAGATATCTCTCCCGACCGATAAGAGTAAATGTGTTACCCCTATGACTACTTTGCGGTCTGTGTTTGGGCGCGTATCTTAGTGATGAGCCGTTCATGCCGATGCCATTGATTGAGATGCGGTATGGTGTCTGTTGTGGAGCTTCATCTCTCCTGCGGATGGCCATATTTTGCATTCGTTCGACTTGGTTGTTTAAATTGGATTGGAGAAGAAGAAGAGACTGGAGGATGTTTGAAGTCATCCATCTTTCTATATTTTTGCTTGCCATTTTGGTATCGCAGAGGACATGAAACCACGATGAATGCTGGGGAAAATATTACATCACTGTTGTCTTGCAGGTAGAGGCAAAACTACACAGTCGTAGATACTCTGTACACATATTACTCGGGATCGATGACCCTCTTTCTAATATTTCTGTTCGTTCCTCTTGTTGCCCTCGGTTCCTCTTGTTACCCTCGACTCCTCTTGTTACCCTCGACTCCTCTTGTTACCGACGATTCTCCTCGTTACTGTTGATTCCTCTTGTTACTCGTGGTTTCTCTCTGTTTCTTTTATTGTACACTAGCTGTGTTTTTATCTTTTAATTGCTTTGGTTGCCACGGTCTACGATACCATATGCCTGTTGCCATTTTCATGTTGAACAGGCCGTGAAAGTAGATGCCCAGGTGCACTTTCCCTCTCTGCAGTGGGTGGCATACGAAATTGGCAGAGAATAGAAGGGACAAGCATGGGCTCCCTCCCTCTGAAAAGATATGAGACGATGCAATCAATGCTAAAAACTTCCACATCACCCTCACCATCATCACCAACACTATCATTATCATCACTACCATCATTATCATCAACAACAACAACAACAACAATGGAATCATTCATTCCGTATGTTGGTGGCGCCCTGCGAACTTATGTCATATTTCCGGTACCCTCACGGGCAGATGACGAGTTTTGGCTTCATTTCAATGGCCGTAAGTGTTGACAGATATCTTGATCAATTATTTTGGCTAATGCATCCAATAGAAACTTCCAACTCCACCTCCCTTCCTCCATCCCGTAAGTCGTTGAACTTACTAATTATACACGCGACAATACTGATAAATTGTGCAGGAAAGCGGAAGAGGAGAAGACGAAGAAAACGAAGAAGACGAGGAAGAAAAGAGGAGAAGAAGGAGAAGGAAGCCCGGAGTTTTCCCTATAATATCTATCTTAAAGATGGGTATATACAACTGCAATTCCCTTGCTGGCCTTATAACTGCTCCATTATTAATGATCAATTCGAGCACATTATATTTGGTTCGTGAGGGACATCATTGATACTCTACGTGGGGATTACTGGGATGATATAGAGCTTACGATTTGTCGATGCATTTGTCAATCTTCGGTCGGTCATCTGAGAACTCAAGCTAGAGCAACGACACGTTTATGTCTGACAGAACTTGGCGCCGCATGCACACAGGCCCCATCAGATAATTCTACTCATCCATACAAGAAGTGCATTATTGATCCCACTTCCTTATCAGCCTACTAGCTTTGTTCATAGACGTTATGGTAGCTCCATACATATGCCTATAGCTGGTACAAGCTTTTTAGGGAATCTAGGGATAATCGACCATGTTGTCACCAACAGAGTTTTTGTAATGTCTTTTCGTTAGCTATGACTTTGGAGCAGTCGGCCTGCATCAGAGAGGGGTGTGGTATTGGCCTCAGGTCCTTGCGCGATTGCGGAAAAGACAGGTCGAATGAAATGTGCTAGTCTTTTGTTCTGAGCATTTGATGACTATGGAACACTGGGCAAAGGAAATGTTCAAGACAAGAAGCGATATCATCCAAACACCAAGAACACCAAGACCAGAAGCACATCATTTCCTGCCGCCTAATCGCTTTACTCCCCCGTTCAGCTGACACATCAAAACTCGGGGTTAGTTTGCATGCCACATAGTTATTTCCCCTTTACTTGTGGAACACAAACCCTGCCATGACTCGAAGCTTTACTCAGAAGCATTACACTAAGATAGGTAGACATACTAGAATTCCACTCTAAGATGAGTCATGCGTTAAATATGCTAATATATATACGTGACGAGACTTCACTCAACGTCCCAGCACTGCTGTCTTCATGACTGTTTTGAGAACACGTCTTCATCTTAGACATATCATAATCTGAACAAAAGTTCACATGATCCGCTTACTTCATACTGCAGTCATTCATAATGACAGAGACAAGCTCTTTGTGGAAGCTCCCGAACAAGATCCAGTTCATGATTCTTGGTTTCCTCGATATGAAGAGTCTGATCAAAGTTGCACGGGTCAAGCCTTTCCATGCCGCCGCAACAACTATGCTGCATAAACGGGGTATCGAATTGGCAGGTGTGATCGGCTCTAAGTCTTTGGTATGGGCGACCCTTCATAACATGCTGGCTACTATGGAGTTTTCCTTCGCCGTTGGAGGACTTGCCGCCATAAATGGCAACTCTTACATGTACAAACCGCTTCACTTCGCGGCTTTGATGGGGCATGATAATATGGTCTCATTACTTTTGGATAATGGTGCAAGCATTGAACTCACGACACGGGGTTGGTACGGCTTTACTGGCGAGAACACCCTGGATTGGGTGGCAAGAGAGACATCAGAGATCACATCTTTGGGCCTAGCTATAGCTAGGGGACATGAATCTACTGCACACTTACTGCTTGAACGAGGAGCAAGTCTTCATATCGGATTCAAGCGTCGGTCTCTCAGTGCATCTGCCAAGCACTCGATTGGCGTGTTGCACGCAGCCGCCGCATCTGATTTGGATGTCAATGCCCAAGATGAACACGGGGACAGCGCTCTCCACATGGTGTTAGAGAAAGCTAACGGCATTTCCGTTGGCCATGCAAAATTACGTTAGAATGTCATGACCCTCATTGGAGCGAACGCAGATGTAAACATGCTAGGTGGATCAAAGACTAGCTATGTATACTATGATGATGGGGGATTTAGAGGCAGCTATCGAAAGTTGCCCATTTCGATCGTTGCCTCTCCTCCCGTACGGTGGCTTATGCGTATCCTCTTGGACCATGGCGCCAGGCCTTATACGGAGAACGACAAGGATCCGCCACTACGGAGAATAATAGACAATCGTCTTTACTCATTTTATGATGAGACAGAAAACCCTGGTTGTGGTAGGGACCTTTGCTTGAGCTGTGAAAGGAAATGCGTGTGGATGCTGCTGGAGTCCGACGATGGACGACTGATCAGGCAGGCAAGAGGGGTATACCATCTTGCTTGCTGTGATATGCGTATAAAGAGCGATCGTTTAGTAGAGTATTTGAGTTTGGAGATTTTTCACAAGTTATTTTTGAAGAAGAATGCTTGGCTTGCACGATCGAAGGGACTTTGAGATATTCATTTATTTCACGAATAGAATATTGCTTCCCTCATCCCCTCTCACCCCTCTCATTTCTACTACACCAATGAATTGCTTGTGTCTCCGTATGTACCTTCCATTTTCATTCATCTCAACTTGACCCCTCTCCATGCCTCTTCTCCTGGTTATCCACCTTCTTCGTGCCTGCAAGACGCTCGGCCCAGGTTCTCACGGGCTGCCGTACTAGTTAATAGGAAATACTCCACGAAACCCCATCATAAATTGTTGGTTCGGAATGGTAGTCGGAGATATGTACGAAGGGTTGAGTTGGTGCTGCCAAAACAGTTAGTATGAAGAGGCAAACCTCAGCAAAGAGATTATCAGTGCACGTACCTGTCCTGGGTGGGACGAAATATCCAGTGATCATCCGCCCAATATTCTCCTCTTCTTTGTCATCGCATTCTCTCTTTCGTTTGACTTTGTAGTCTGTTAGTTTCGATGTGTATGCAACAGGAAGAGCCAGCGACCTACGCGACGGAGTGGGAGAGGAGATGGCGGAAGTTTCTGCTTTATGCATTAGCCAAGCAGAGGGATGAACATGTCAGGGTAAGGCTAACGGCCATCGAAGTTTGCCCAGAATTCATCATCTGCCCGTGAGGGCACCGGGAAGCAGAATTGCAAGATATGGCGAAAAGAAGCTTCC